CAGCGCATCAAATCTTTGTGTCTCCTAAAGTGATCAAACACCACCGCAAGATCGTAACTAACAAACCTCTGCGTTATCTCACCTGAAAAAGTGGCGGCCTGTTCTTGATTGTATGTCCAGGCAGACCTGGACATACCATGACGGTTGGAAATAAACAAGCCTCTGGAGTCTGTCGCCAAGTCTGTGTGAAATCAATGTAAAAGAAAACGCATTATTATTAATTTGGGCATGTAAAAACGTGCCGTAGTATCGTGGTTATGATTCTGTTAAGGAATTTATACTGAGGTGACGATAGTGGCCATTATGTTTGCCATCATGCATCACTTCAACAATTTGAATCTCTATAAATATCATGCAATATAAAACTTACGTGGGACGCAACTCAACAACTTGGTTCTTTAAAGAGCATCTGATATTTTGTTTTTCGTTGCCGAAACTGATGAGTAGCATGCAATTTTGTCTAAAAATGAGTTGGATTTATAACGGAATGTGTCGTTACTTTTAGGAAATGTTTTTCAACAAACTTTCTAGGAGATTGGTGAATGAACTTCTCGCTCTATTAGTAAACACAAAAGTTGTATCCATCGATATATAACAAAATGAATTCGATCCTGTGAGGATTTCCTATCCCGTAAACACGATCAGGCCTATGGCTTCGGTATCATAACAGAAACCCACCCAATTTCAAGGGTTCTCTCGAACTTTCAGACAGCAAGAGAAGATCTGGGAACGAGTTTGACACTATTTCTCTTACCGAGTACACAGGTTATTGAAGAGATCACAGGCGTAGCCATGCGGGTTCGGGAGGTATGCCACTTGTAAATCATGCTGCTGAAATACAATAACACACTCTCCGTCTCCCGTCACGGCGCAAATACCGTCCACAATGGAGCTGCAAAACAAAACAAGCATTGCAAGCATTAAAAGACACGAGCTAGCATGAAGTAAACTTTGAACTCATTTATTCAGTCAAGCTAACATTTAGATCTGGCTATTATCACAATTTTTATCGCTCTTTTTTCCATTAATCTCTAAAGCATAATATTTGAATGATGATCGAGGAAAGTGCCATCTCCTTAAAAAAAAAATAACACAAAACAAAGATAAACTTACTCCGAGGACTCTAGTGCCCTGCTGTACTCCTCTGCGTCGATAATAAAGAGGTGAAAGCCGTGATCGTGAAGGCCTGAAGAGAGACAGCTTTGGATAAATATAGACATCATTTTGCTTGTGCACACATCATTATAAATTAGTTTATTAGTTGTGGAAAAAACTCAAGACGTAGGTATCTTTCAAACCTTCATAGACGACGCAGGGAGGCAGTGCACTCACAGGTCTCTTTGCAGCAGTTTCTTCATAAGGACGAGCTAAAAAGATTGACGAAGGAAGTGAGATTTCTAATCAAAGGAACGAGGATATCAACATTGAAGGTTTTACCACCATTTAAGCTTATGACAGTAGCTCAAATCTAACACGAAAACAAGTCCAAATATAGTTACCGTAAACCTCGCATCAGGCCTTTGATAACTATAGTGTATAAAAGGGCAAAGTCATGATTTACATACCTTCGACAGTTTTTTCAAAAGCCTTAAACACCAGTTCAGGATCGGGAAACACCTTACCGCCCATTAGGTAGCTCAAAGTCGAGAATTCTTGATGAATGTTTTCAAAGATTTGGTCGCAAGAACCCTGGGATGTTAAGGGTCGCTTGCGGGCCTCGGAAACTTTCAACTTCCTAATGGGACGACGAACGCCGTATGATGGAACGAAGCGTTCTGGGCGTTTCTTTGGCAGCTGTGAAAGGAATTTTTAGCCAATTAAAGTAAGGTTTAAAACTAGTACAGTATTTAATTGAGAGTCCGAAACCTCAGGATTGCATTGATTCGCTTTACTCGGCCTGTTTTCACAAACTTGCATCGCAAGTAAGAAGATGTAGATTCCAATAAGTTTTTCAGTAAATATGAAAACTGCGCATATCAGTCGTAACCAAAAAATTAACAATTTTCTTAAAATTTATTTCGATCAGACTGTTGGGTTGACAATGGCACAATCGCACGATTTGCGCGCCATCCTTTTTAAGTGCGACCGCTGACCGCTGACCGCTGACCGCTGAAGTATTGCGTCGAAAAGAAAACCTTTAGGACTATCTTACTCAATTTCATACTTTGAACATATTCACGGAATTACAGGAATCTTTGACACATTTCCTTTTTCATTTTAAAGGCGATTGGAGCACATTTATTTTTAAGATTCCCAGTAAGAGCGAATTTTTTTTTAGATGGTTCTTCAACAAGTTGTGTCGGAAGACTGTACGCAAGGACTTTCCGATTTTAGACAAAGACGAATACTGCGACAACGGGACGGCGGCGGTTTAGAGAGGTTTTCCTGTGTTATCAGGGCGTCTTCCACTAGCCAATTTTAAGATAGAGAATACGTAAGGCCCAATGCTTGCGTAAAACCGCGGTTTGCGTTATACCTCGTGTAAATAACCGGCCCAAAGTGTATCATTTGACCCAGTTTTGAAGGTTTTTTCCTCGCATATAAGTCTTGCACTAACATGGGGGCATTTAGTCAAGAATCTCAGTTTAGATTGATAGGCCAAGTAAATTTCTTACCGTGGGCTCAAAGGTAGGTCACGTTGTTTAAACTTTCTATTGTCAAGGTCACAAAGAAGTTGCTTCTTTTTTACTGATGAGGTTGTGGAAGAGATTTCAAGAGAGCCGGATCAAATTGTGTAGAGATCGGATTTAAGAGAGAGATAGCCGAGTCAAGATTTCGTTTTCTCTTTGTGCTCCAAAAATTCAGAATATTGACCATGAATTCACCGCCATCAATATACTAAGAGTTGAAATCAGCTGGGAAGGATGTCAAATTTTGAGCCTACCAGATCATAGGCGTAGGGTTTTTCTTTATTTGACAAACATCAAAACGTCGAATGCTTTCCGTAAAATCGTTAGCTGGATTCGTAACATGAGTACGTTACCATGGCTTCTGGTATTGAAATATAAGATCAGTCCCAGGTGCCGCGCAAGTTCAAAACCTCGATGCAAGTGTCGCGCGCGCATGATGTCACAAAGGCTAACGGTTTGTTGGAAAAAGTTGAAGGTTGCTCCGTTGAACAAAAGTGCGCATTTTTAAACGAATTTTGACTACTCTACTCAACCACTTGAAGTAAGCTCACCTTTGTCTTCTTCTGGATGCTCAAGGTACATCCCATTCTTATTCAATTTTATTTTCTACGCGAATTTTTAGCAAAACTTTCTCAAGCAACCGCAACAGAGAAATGAAGCGTCTTAGCAGCGCACGCCGCCTTTATACCAGTTGGCAAGCTTGCTGTCGACATTTAAAAATTTGAAATAAGCAACCCTGATTGGTCAACGAGGTGAGGTCGCATCTTCGCTGTTTTTTGGTACCATAGTAATCATGCTATGTCATACGTTGATCATGTGAATGCCTGTTTCGAAATACCGCCATGAGACGTTTCCAAACTGTTTCTAGTGCCACATTCGAAGGTACATAAATATATACATGCGAACATAATCATCATATTGCGCATGAAAATCATGAAGGGGAAATAGTGCAACAAAGGCATTTTTTGTCCAGTGTTGATATTAAGTCTACTGATCACACCAATCTCAACATAATGTTCGCAAAGTGTAGCCCTCAGTTTCGTTTGCGCTTTCAGGTTATAAGTGCGCAAAGCTATTGGCGGCGAAGCCTTGAGCTATAAAACCATCGCACCTGCATTTGCGCACACAGCTGACAACTAAACAGGCTTGCATTTCACGGAAAACATTTGATCGGTTTTCTGGTGAGGACAAGTTGAGGGATAAAAAAGAGCATCGTTCCCTTGTTATGTGAACTCTGCGTTCAGCTTCACATGATTTTGAGTTCGATATATCTGGATGAGATATAATATTGGGAATATTTTTTTTCTTTTTTTTTTTTTTACCTTTTCCTCGTTCAAGAAAGTCTGCGTGTTTTCAAGCTTTTGTACAGGTGCGTTTGATGTCTACGTAATGCGTTAATTCACTTCAGCTTGATTATGACTGCTAGAACCACGTGCTGTACAAAGGCTTAGTACACTTTCCTGGAAGCATAAAATTTATTTTAACCGGTCAAAAGATTTTGTAATTGAATTTTTAAACATTGTGGCCCAAACCGTCACGGCATTTTGGTTATCAGACGCCGTAGCTCATGAAAAATGCTTTCATTATATGATATTCGCCCATGGCTCACCTTTAATTGATTCGAAGTTTTGAAGTATTCAGTATTTTCAGGCGAATGAATACACCACATTAAACACTAGATGAAGGACTTATATGCTGTCAATCCATAGGTACAACTATTATAGACTCTCAGATACTACCCCTGCTGTTACCGGTTCATTATACGATCCTACTCTACTGACAGACGTTCAAAATTCAAAGATTTTATTTTCTTCCTTTTTTTGTGTGTCAAGGTCTCTTGTTATTTGTTGTAATTATTATTCATTGCTCTCTTAACCATAATCCTAACTAACTTAAAATTTGAGCCACAGATATTTATTGCAATAAATTAATATGCAGCTTTTTGCAAAGTAAATGAGTAGTCGCATTACCAGGAAATATCTAGATTTGATGCTGTGAATGGAACAATCTCGTAGAATCCTCGCAAAAGCACTAAACGCGGAAGGCACTCAAGCAGGAGCCCATTGATGAGCTCCTGACTGAAGTGATTTTGATTCCTGAAATAATAGGCAAATGCTTCCTAGATAGGAAAAAAAAATGTTCAAAACTGTGTGATCTTTACTTCACCATGACCGCAATAAAATCACCTCCATTGTTAACGCTGCTGATACAAACCAGAGACATTTTGATTCCGCCCGAGTTGCAGTTTAAATCGGGCGCGGGCGGAGGAGGAACGGGATCAACCATCCCAAATCCATACTACCCTGACCCCTAGGGTAATTCTCAGGTTTATGTTTCCTGAACGGAATCATGGGTAGTGTTGTTTAGAAAATGGCGGAAAACAGCTTGATTCTTTTAGAAACATCTTGGAGAAAATTCGCAAGTAGTTAGAATTACGGGTGAACCTCCAGCGAGGTTCAAGAATGCCTAAACCTGAAAATAGTAAGAAACGGAAGAGAGAAAACAAGAAAGATGAAGATCTCATCAGGAAAAAGGGAAAATCGAAAGGAAACGATGAACAGACTAATCCTAGATTAGAGGTGGACAGCAACAATGTCGCCAATCTACCTTATGAAGAACAGCAACAGATTGATGATATAGATGAACAGTTGGAGGAAAATGCGGCTAGGAACAAGTTAACAACGATTAACGTGAAGAGTATTTTGCACGTAAGACTTTTGTTGTGTGATGTTTTAGGCACTGAATAGTACCTATGGTGTTTGTAATCAGCCCCGACACTTTCTCTATGTACATGTGCTACGATGAGTTTCTTTCAATGTTTTCGTTTAAGATACCTTTTCTGTTAAGTGAAAATACTGAAAAAATTGTTGCTTGGGGCAATTTGTTCCAAAGAAGATTAATAACCTTTAACTACCATTTATTGTATTTATTGTCCATTCAAACTTAAATTAAATTTTATGACAGCCGTTGCATGAGCAGTTTGAATAAATGTAACATTGTGACCTTCAAGGTGGAATAAGTCACCCTTACTGAGATATAAACAATTTTCTCTGATTCTCGAAATTCTCTCATCTGGTTGGTTTTTATATTCATACATCTACAGCATGTTGTATCAGACAAGAGAGTGCTTGCAATGGTGAAAAGCGTGGCTGGTGAATTTGAGAAGGAGGAGAATGAAGTTACTCCAGGCAGTACTCCTGGAGACCCTGATATAGAGCTGGATTTTGTAAGAATTTGAAATAAATTTTTGTAATAGATAAGAAAAATGTCAAATATTGTGCTTGTAATCTCAGGTCTAAACATGGGATAAAATAAAAGGTCTGCCTTTTTTGCATGTGAGGAATCACACCTTTAGGTTTTGGATTACATGCTTCCATGCTCTTCCCCTGAGCTACAGAGAGCTCTATAGTATTTTCTTTTTCAGATGGTAGCCTGTATACATGTAGTTTACTGCCTATAGTAGTCCTCTTATAACCACCTAAAACCACTCAACATTCCTGAACACTGGCTCCCTAAGTGACTCACATTCTCAATTATTAATTTTACTTACTCCGTCATTTTTCTTTGAACAATATTCCGTTGCCCATCCAATGAGACATGTACTGTTAAGTAGAATTATGTTACTTTCTTCCTTCATACTTACTACTTTTTAATTATTTTTATCAGGAACCAAAAATGACCAGGCTAAAGAGAAAACAGACAAACCAAGGTGATCCAATTGCTGTTTTGGTAAGATATTAGTTTAAAATTTTAAATGAAAAACATTTTTAGTAAAAATTTTTTATATCAAGTACCATCAACAAACAAGACTAGAGGTCTTCAAAATTAGACTCTGAAAGCACCAATTTAGTTAATGATTTTACACCACAAGAATCATTAGCTGATCAAACTTTGCAAACATTTTAAGTTGAAAAGTTTGAGTTTTCCAAATTTTGGATAAAGATTGCTTTGCTTGTTTGGTTTTTACCTTTCCTATTACACTCTGTATCAGGTTACATAGTCTTTTTAACACTACATCTTTACATTTCTGAACTGTTTTTCATACCCTGACATGGAACAGTCAAGTTGTCTGGGAGAATCAGAATCATGACTTACATGTAGCATGATCCTGCATCTCTTTCATAACTTCATACACTTCCGTTACAGGCATCCCAGTCACCCATGAAAGACTTAAGAACACAGCAGATATCCAGAAAAAAGGTATGAAATACAAGTCTCATAACACCTGCTGCAAGTAGAATTATTATGGTTATCAAGGTATTTACAGGTGTATGCAATGAAAAATCAAATGCTCATGAAAAAATACTTTGGGTCAAAGAGACTTATCAGATCCTTTTTGGAAATTTGAAGCAAACTTGTTGAGCATTGCAGTCAAAGTCCTGTTTGCAAATTTAAGATATTAGCATTGTAATAAAGGTATTGTACAGTGATTGTCCAAAGGGAGGTTAGATTCTTTGTCCATGGAAATGTCATGTTTTGAAATGAATTTATTGGGTCATAATGGGTAAACACTCATAATATTAAAATAGTATTTTGCTTTTACTTTCCATGCTTTGTTTTGAAATAATTGCTATAACAAGGTCCTCAACAAAAAACAGTTTAAAATCATTTTAACCTGAAATCTATATTTAATTTACAATAGTGGATATGCATTGAATTATCTCTTACCATTAAATTTCGAAAAAGAGTTATGAAGTGTTATTCTCCTAACGAGATACATTTTCCTCCAATCATTTCCAGTACCTGCTAGATAAAAAGTGTCAACAGTGCAACATTGTGAAATATTGGCCAGTCTTTAAGTTGTAATCCTGTTCTATGCAGCTCTATGAAAGGGGTTTTTTTATTTTTAATTGAGCAAGTACACACTTGTCTGCAGAGCAGCCCCATTTCAAACTACCCAGTTGTATTCAACAAATAGTTGGTTTAAAGCTGATTGGTTGCTTATAATTATTTTGTTTGGGTTTACAACATGATTGTGCTATTTGATTCAATGAAACATTTTTCAATTTTCTTTCTTTTTTTTTTAATTATTCGTTTTACAGGAGATTCATTTCACAGAGTTGGAACTTCCAGATTCATCATCTGATGAGGAATACAATCCAGATGAGGAAGAGGTAATTGATAAAAGTGCATTTATATGTACAATCTGCAATAAATGTGTAGATGTGTAGAGATAAGTTCTTTTCTGGTGCAGGATTCTTGCACCACTATAAGCACCACTCAAATCCTGTCTAGTGGTTTATAGGCATAATGACCTACAAAAATGTTTTAATTCAAATTTTTGCATGTTCTTATGACATTCCACATAGGTTTTACAAAGTAAACCAAAAGAAAGAGTCATCTGTTGATTTGTCGATTTTCTTTCTTTTTTTTTTTGCAGGATGGAAGTGATGAAGACACGGAAAGCTGTGTATCTTTTACAAGGTAATACTTCACATGTGTATCCTATGGCCTATCTTCTTGATAATTGTCTGGAGGACTTTTGCACATGTTTATGGCTGGAAAATTATAGGGGTTGCTTATCAATAACCAAAAGCAGCTTCTCCTGGTTGTCAGCATGTGGTCAATTCTGACCCTTTCGCTCTCAGGATCAAAGTGTTTATTCTTAGCACTGTCTAGCATTTATTACTTATAAATTAAGCCCAGAGAATGTGGTGTTTAATCAAAGAATATTCCCAGAAGATATTTTTATTTCTTCTTGTCACCTGTTTGCTTGAAATTGTGTTGATATTCAAGGAGGAATTCCATTTCAATCAACCTTGGGAATAAAAGGGCTAAAGCAGGTACATCAGAATACTCTGAGTCATATTCAGTGACGTTCTAACTGCCTTGAAGGAGTCTGCAAAATAATTATTAACTGAGGGGAAAATATACTGATTAATTAATTCATAATAATAATAATGATAGTAATAATATTATTGTCAAATTATTGTTATGGATGATAGTTATATTACTGTAGCCAAGTTGGAAACAGGATGGCCAAGAATAGAATAGATTTTAAAGTGATTAAAAAAAAAACTTGAGAAATTTAAATAGGATTAAAAAACCATTATCAGTTGTAGCTTTAGAAAGTTGTTTGTTATCTTTATTTTAGTGACATTGCCTCACCTCAGTTACCAAGCACACCAGAAAGGCAAAAAACAGATGATACAAAGGACAATAACAAACAATCAGGGAAAACGGGTAACACTTTTTAACTTTATACTGAAAGTATAAATCATAACTTAACACCAAGTTGTACGAAGTTAAACAAGTTTGAATTTATGCAATAATTCCATGAATGATATGATTGTTAGTGGCTTTTTCAGAAGGTGGACACAAAAACTTTTTTAATTTACTAATAACAACTTGTCCCTTTGTGTGTGGTTGTTTTATTACCCTCACTAACTCTGATACCAACCATGTATATTCCTTTTCCATATCAGTGACAAGATCACTAAGTAAAAAGCTTTCAGAGGAACCATTCAAAGTTCCTTATCCAGTGGCAGCAACTAACTCAGCTCCACTTGATGAAGTATGTGATTCTGTTTGACTTATAAACATAATTTATTTCACTGTATTTATATGTACACTGTAGGTCAAAATTGTACATGTAACACTGATTTTATTGTCTAGCTCTAACTACTGAGGCAATCCTTAATTCTATACACGTGAACAGCAGGGTGAAATAGATATTTTACAATTATGTTTAGAAATTTGATTTAAAGTATGCATACCACTCTTTTTGCTTAAATACTAGATGAAGGTAGATGAATTATAAGGAAGATTAAATCAGGTCATTGTAGCTGTTTTCCTAACTGGAAGTGGGGAACCCAAGGGAGGTTTATAGGGGCATTGTCAAGTACTTTTGCTAACTTGCATGCAATTTCAAGTGAAATTAATCCTTAATTGCTCAAGGACACTTACGATGAAGCCCTTTCAAATGCCACCACAAATGTCAAACAAACGTAACTGACTAATAGATTCAATGAGCATTTTATTTTCAAAATACAGTTTACAACATTACACAGCTTCATTCAGTTAAATTACAATCAATGAATCATGCCTTCTGTCTCACTGAATCAGCATTCAGTAATTTTGTGATAAGTTGTGTTGCCAGCCAAGTTTACTTTCTTTCTCTTCCTTCTGTCTCAAGGAGATTATTGTTTTGGAAGAAGGTGACTTGATAGCCAAAAGAACTCGCTCCCAGCTCCCACTCGAGGACATCCCCCTTGAAAAAATTGAAGGTAATGCGTTAGGGCTGAATTTGCTCATTTGAATGTCTTGTTCAGTTAAGAGAGACTGATCGACTGATGGTCTTCTGTTGTCATTGACAGCGACATTCCAGCCGCCAGACTTCACTGCTGACATGTATGACACAATCAAGGAAGATGATTTGGACTTTGAAGATATAGAATGGCAGAAATGGCTTCAAGGACTAATAAACTCAGGTACAGTTCCTATACATGCCAGTTGTGTTTCTCAAAATACAAACTTACATGTATGTTTACGTGGAGTACTTTTATTAGTTTCTTTCAATAGGAGACTGGTTCTTTGGCGTTCTTTAGAGCTTGCATGTAAAATAAATACTTAGGCTTTGAGCACTGGCCAGAAACTTTTGGCATGTTCTCTATGTGAATGTGCTTGTCCTGTTTGGAATCTGCATGAAACACATCCTTTTGACAGGCTCAAAATTGTCCAATGTATTGTAACAAGAAGGAGCCTGGTAAATGTGGAAAGGCTTAAATCTCCTGTTTAACCTTTGTCAATTCTTCATGCAAAATTCTGAGTTTAGTTTAATAACATCTTATAGATATGAAGGGGATGTGCTCGTCAATTATGCATTTGTTTGGTTGAAAATCTTTCCCAGTTTAAAGCAAAGCAGGACCATTACAGGCTTTTAGGACAGCTCTTTTTTGTGCCATAATGTTATCAATCCCAGACCAGGGAAGTGAATGTCTGGGAAAGGGAGAATGAGGGGGTCTTATCAGTGGAAGAAGTCAAAAACACATTTATGATGTTTTTTTTTTCCCTTTCCATTTTAATCCCAGATGAAGTCTGTGGTGAAGAGGATCATGAAGACTCTGAATACAACTTTATGGCTGAAGATCAAAGAGAAGAAAAAGAGGAATACAGAAATGACAGGGCTGTCAGAATTCCACGTAAGTGATGTTCAAGCTTCTCCCTTCATAAACCTTCCTTTAAATTTGTTTAATTGAAAATAAAATGAAAAAAAAGTACTGAGTTATTGGAAGATGGGCAGGAAGACTTAAATAGATGACTGAAATAAATGACTTAAAGAAGAGGGGATAGAATGTTTTCTTACTCATTTTCATCATGGTTCATACAGTTTCGTTTGTTAAAGGAAAACATTAGAATTGGAGCAATTTGTTAAATAGTAGTAAGTAAAGGTAGTAGGACTTAGTGGAGTCCAATTCAGTCTGTAATCATATGATTGATAACAAAATCAGATGACCGCGAGGTTAAGTTATCTGAAATCCAGCTTGTTGTGGGTATATCTAGTAGGAAAGAGGATATGAAAACTTGTCTGCTTAGCAAGGAATTTTACTTGCCCAGGGCAATCACTTAATAGATTTTTTTTTTTTAAACCTTGTTCAAGAGTATATACGTAGCAGGATCCTCAGAATTATTAAAACACATAGGAATAGAAGTCTTCATTTTCTTTATTTTGTTAAAATGTTGATTTTTAAATGTTAGTGCATGTGTTTTGGTGATTTTCAGAGAAGGAAGTGAATGAATTACTTGAAGAATTGCTGAAAGATGTGAGTAAACAAGTCATGTAATATTGTAGTGCTCTAACAGGAAAATTATCAGTGACTTGAAAACAGCTGTGTGATATGTTACTAGCCAGGCCTGTAAAGTGTTTTAACTGTTTTTATTGGCATTGATACCATAAATTAAAGGAGTGGTGGAGCTCACTGTTATTTATTGGAGTTGTGCTGTGTTTTCATTTAAATCATGAATTCATTTAAAATGGCAAAATGCAAACAATCTTCTCTTCAACAAATAGACTCTATGTGGCCATGTTGCAGTGCAGAAATAGATCACAGATGACATCAAGATGCAGTAAAAACAAAAAAGTGGCCACAAGGAGCAGCCGAGTTTGACACTGATGGTCTTACCACATTTTGACCTCATCTGTGATCTGTTATACTACAGTTTCACACCTAAATGGAATCTATTTGCTTTATCTAATGAGAGGCAAAATGTTGTTAATGGTGAAGTCTTGTATGGGTCTGTTCTCCAGCAGATCATAAGTACAAACCAATTAAAACAGGTGTATAATTCAGCTTACCCTACAATGATTTATACCCCATTCTTTTATGGACTTTCTATGTGCCAATTCATTTACTCCTAAAAAGTCAGGACACATCTCCTTGATTCACTTGACTATGCATTCAGAGAGGATGTAGTTTTTTTAATTTTTCTTTTCTGAATGTATAGTATGACGAATTTGAAGATGCGCGGTGTTTAGATGAGGAGGGTAAAGATATCAGTTTCCTGGAACTGCTCAACGTCAGGTGAGTTTCAATTCTGACATCATTCTCTACCAATATCATTTAGTGCTTTCTTATCTTCCTTTTGATTGGTGAAGAGTTCCTCGCGTGAACTGCCTTTGAACAACGTTCTGGTAATTTGTAACATCATCAGTGTTTTGGTGAAATGAAATTTTGTTCATGAGTAGTATTTTCTACCCTTTTCTTCTTTGCTACTCTAAGCAATTGCCATCTCTTATAATTGCACTGCGAGTTAATTTTTGATTCATATTTGAAATCATTGAACATCTACAGGTCCTCCATTGAGGAAAATGTGAAACTACTCAATACTGAACAGTTGGAGAGACTCACCGAACAACTGCAACAGGTAGGCTCCGTTATCATGCTACTATTAAATCTTGTGGAGCCAGCCTGGAGAGGCAAGGTCACTCAATTTTCCGGCAAATATTATGGGTTCACGCAGTCAGGACTGCTTCGGTTGTTTGGTGGCAAAATCAGAAGAGAAGCAACTTTGCAGAAAGACATCCCTTCTTCGGCTCAACAGTATATTTCTAGTGCTCTAGACTATGCTTTTAGCAGAGTAATTTAGCTTTCTCGACTGAGTTGTTAACGTAACTTAGTCACCGTAAAGAGTTTCCAAGCTGACGTTTCGAGCGTTATCCCTTCGCCATTCGCTCTGACTAAGGGCTAATACTCCAAACGTCAGCTTTGAAACTCTTTACGACGGCCAATTTACCTCATCAACTCAGTTGATAATACTAAATTACCATGTTACACTCTCCCACTGACATAGCACCTCAGTTTCTTTAGAAACTTATCCCATTTATGTTCCTAGCAGTCTTGATGCAGTCTTTAGGTGGCCAATATGTAAGTCGTGACTGAATGGTGTCGATAAGGTGCAATCTACAAATAGCTTCTGCGGCATATCTCCCCTTCGTGAGGATACTTCCCAA